TTTGTAGTATTTGTGAGGTTCTCACACGAGTCTCACTCTCATTGACAACTCATTGAACTGCACTTCAATGCAAATACCTTTCATTCATTTGATTGTCCACTCATTACAACCAATCAATTGGTTGTCATTACAGCGTTTGGGGCGCATGTAGTGTGACATAGGGTGGGGTGAGTGCACATGGGAATGGGACACAATAGTCGTAGTGATTAAGTAAAACAATGCATTGGCATGTATTGGGTGAGAGGGGACAGGGCTATGGGTTACGGACTGGTGGGTCGGAGTGCGAGTGTGGGTCAACACCTGCGCCCACATGTAATGGTTAACTGTAAAGAGCTGTACCCATGGGTCGAGACATAGAGTACTGTCTTATAAAATACGTTATGAGAGAGAGTGTGAGAAATGAATGAAAGTTTGAATGGAGAGAGAGATCGTGAGAAAGCATTGAAAGCATTGGTTGTGAAGAAAATGTTGACTCTATTGAAGGCAAACAGTCCACAGAAATGCAGAAGAGATGCGCAGAAGTGTTCACTACATAGAGAGGGAGAGCTGAGAGAGAGGGAGAGAGAGCTACAGAGAGAGCTACAGAGAGAGCCTATGGTTAGCACTGAGAGACTGACTCTCTCTTCAGTAATACTTCATTGTATGGAAAGACAGTCCAGACATCAGACATAAGCCATACATTCATTCATAACATTCATCGCAATCTATGAATGAAAGTCTAGTTTGTGTTGTAATGTAATGTAAAACGAGTTTGAAATCATTGTTTTGTTTCACAATTCAAACCAACGATTATTACTATATTTTGAAGACATTTACTGAACGTAAGTCTATTCAACACTTGATTGTATTACTTATCATACCATCCATTGTCTCATCACTTCTTCGGACAACAGTTTCAGTCTTTACTCGCATTTTGTTTTCATTCATTCATTTCAATGCCTTTCTTACAAACTATGAGAAAATAAACACATTTTTCAAATCAATTATTTTTAGAAACGTTTAGTTGAGCTCTCGTTATGAATATATCATTGAAAACTTATTATTGAAAGTATTTATTGAATAAATAGTGAAAATAATAGTATTTGAGATTAAATGTAAATACTAGTCAACAAAACTTATAGTCGATATGTCTATCAGTCCTATCAATGCTATAAAAACGACATTTACTTAAGTTTTACAAACACTACATTTGTACTACACTTCACTTATACTGTAGTAAAACTATGTGTTATGTGTAGACATTGTGTACAATAATGCAGTCATAAATAGTATAACTTATATAACAATAATTGTGTATAACATAGACTATAGCGTAAACTGAATGCCTGAATGTGTGTTAATATGTACACTGTATGTGATATAGAGGTGATGGCCACTGACTTCGTACGGGAGCACCGGTGCACCAGTTATGGAGGGGTACGCGGCTCTGGCATCAAGCGAAAGGTGTCGATCTGCGAGGGGGTGGTAGTGATGGGTCCGCCACCCAAGAGGGTCATGGGGCCCATCAGTCCCATGCAAAAGGTCCCATCCATGGGCGACCTCTTGGAAGACAGCTCATCCATGGGTGAGTCCATTCACACCACCA